CCTACAGTGTCAGTGTGTTGCTCTGTGTCAGTGTGTTGCTCTGTGTCAGTGTGTTGCTCAGTGTCAGTGTGTCCTACAGTGTCAGTGTGTTGCTCAGTGTCAGTATGTCCTACAGTGTCAGTGTGTTGCTCAGTGTCAGTGTGTCCTGCAGTGTCAGTGTGTTGCTCAGTGTCAGTGTGTTGCTCAGTGTCTGTGTGTTGCTCAGTGTCTGTGTGTTGCTCAGTGTCAGTGTGTCCTACAGTGTCAGTGTGTCCTACAGTGTCAGTGTGTCCTACAGTGTCAGTATGTCCTACAGTGTCAGTATGTCCTACAGTGTCAGTGTGTTGCTCTGTATCAGAGAGTTGCTCAGTGTCAGTGTGTCCTGCAGTGTCAGTGTGTCCTGCAGTGTCAGTGTGTTGCTCAGTGTCAGTGTGTCCTGCAGTGTGGCTCTTATTTCCTCTCTTGCAGGTGCTGTTCTGTGCTGATCTGAAGAAATTCCAGAGACTGAAACCAGAGGAGCAGCTGAAAGCAGAGGAAGAGAGCGCGAGAGAGGCAGAGGAGGAGGCGAGGGGGAAAGGCGCTGAGCTCGGGGAGGGAGGAGGAGAGATCGCGGTGAAGAGGAAGAGAGAGAGAACGTGAGAGTGGAAAGAGAGGGGGAGTGTGTGTGTGAGAGTGTGCTCCACGGAAAAATGTCCCAAAAGCTGTACAGCCGAGTCTTACCTGTTTACCTGCATTGTGCTTTTAAACTGTGTGGGGGATAATTTTTCATTTTAAAAATAAAATGTTTTGTTTGTTAGGACCCGTTCTGTTGATCTGACCTCTTTGAAAAGAAGCCGGTACTCTACCACTGGTCATTAACGTGTCAGTCCCACTGTTTTCAGAACTGAGCTCAGCCTTGGAGCGGCATGCCGGTGGCACCGCTAGGTGGCAGTGTGAACAAGGGCTCAGTGTGGAAGGGGTTCAGCCCGTGAAGACTGTGAGCCTTACCTGTCGAGCGCTGTTGAGATATGAAGGACAGGGGTTACAGAGGCCGTTCTGCCTGCTCTCTCTGACCACACAGGTGCACTCCTGCTGTATCTCGCCATCTTTTATCTCTTTGCGTGTGTCTTCCTGTCTGTCATGTCTGGGTATCCCTCTGTGCATGATCCTCTGCGCTCATGTGGCTGGAGAGTGTGGGGGCTCAGTGAGCGTGGGGGTGGGGTGTGTGTGTGTGTCGGAGTGCGCAGGGCTCGGGGGTGCAGTGACAGAGTGGTTCAGTCAGGCTGTGGTCTCAGAAACCACAGCCTCAGCTGCAGGCGCTTCACAGAAGCAGCTGTCGGCTTTATATACACAGTGTGTGTGTGTGGGCCCTGGGTGTGTCCGTGTGGACAGCAGAGGGGCAGGGGGTTGCGCTTGGTGTATCACAGTCTGTGCTTTTCTCTGTGTTTGTATTCCTGTATGCCTGTGTGTAGTTGTGTGTTGCAGTGTGTGTCTGTTTCTCAGTGTGTGAGTTGCTGTATGCCTGTGTGTAGTTGTGTGTTGCAGTGTG